ACCTCCTGGCTGAGTCTATCTGCTGGTGGACCTCCTGGCTGAGTCTATCTGCTGGTGAACCCGGCGTGTGAGTGCAGACTGACCCGGTCTTGAGGTTGAGGATGGCGTCCTCCACCCCTCTCTGGTTGTACTTGCCCATGTACTGGTGCATGTCCGGGTAGTTGGAGCGGATGTTTTTCTCGGTGCTCCCGTTGGGCACCGTGCCGAACTTCAGAGGCGGGTACTGCTCCTCGGGATGCTGAAACTGGAGGAGCAGAGGACGGCAGGCGGAGGGCCGGTGAGACCGGGCCGGCTGTGCACCAATCTGTCTGACCTATTTCTGTCCACGCTCGCTCTCGGCGCCGCCGGAGAGCGGCAGCGGACTTAAAGCGGCGTTTAGGGCCGTCTTTAAAGCGCCGCTCGGCTGTGGTAATTGAGTTACGTTAAATGAGATTTTATTCATTCTGCAAATTCCTGTGCTTTAATCAATTTAACATTCAAATGCGACGGGATTTGGCTCCTCTAAGACTTTAATTCTTCCCACACTTAATCGGCAGCATGCGGAGTACCTTCTTGTCCGAGAGGCCCGACACCGTGTCGATGTACTCCTCCTGGATCATGAAGGCGGCCAGGTTGGCCGTGTACGAGGCCAGGAAGATGACGGCGAAGAAGGCCCAGATCAGCACCATGATCTTGCTCGTGGTTCCCCTCGGGTTCTCCACCGGCACCGAGTTGTTGAAGACGATGGCCCACAGCAGCCACACGGACTTCCCGATGGTGAAGGTGGAGCCGCCGGCCTCTGAAGCGGAGACAGAATTAAAGGGAAGTAATGAGAAGCTGTAACAGTCTGGAAACCGACGCAGCCGGTGCAGCTCGGTCGCCTCGAACTGCAGACGAAGCAGCCGATCCAAATTAAATTTCCCCTGACTGATCTGTAAAATGGGCTCACAGCATACGGAGGAGAAAAAGTAAAATAGCAGCAGCTCTGTCGGGTGAGAGGACGGCAGCTTCAGTTCAGCTGCTGCTGCCTGATGCTACCAATGAAACAAAATGAGGAAAACAAAATCCTACATGAGGAAAATGAAACACAAAATGATCTAAAAAATGTGACTTCAAATGGCATGACACACACATCACAATAAAGACAAAAAAAACCCCCAAAGACACAAAACAACACAATTAAGGCAAAAAACAAAACAAAAATGTGACACAATATGAACACAAAGACATAAAACTGTCCTACAGACACATGAAACACAAAATGAAAAAAACTAAATCCAGAGTGAGAAAAATGAGACACAAAATGAGAAAAAAGTCACAGAACGACGAAAAAATGCGACACAAAAGGACCAGGACGAGACAAAACTGTCTTCAAAAGATATGAAACGACCGAAATGAGACACAAAAGAAGAAAAAATAGACAAAAAAATAGAAAACTGGAGACAAACAAAACAACCCGACGGCAGCAGAGATGAGAGCGACGGAGGGACGACGACAGAGAGGTAGAAGCAGCCATCATGCGGCGATGGAGGCGAGCCGGGCCGGGCCAAGTCAGGCCGGGCCGGGCCGGTGTCGGACCACCAGGACATCACAGGGCTACAAACCGCTGCTGAATAACAAACGTCCGCGTCCAGAACACTTGGACGCAGCTCAGCGCGCCGAGGGACGGGTTCCTCTGGGCCGCCGTTTAGGATTCAGGGCAGCGCGCTGCTTCGTTACAACCTGACAGCTGACTGCTCAGGGTTCTGGTGTCGGTGGAGAAACAGCCAGAACCACGTCGATTTATCAGCAGGACGCTGTAAAAACTGACTTCTACGACGGTCCTTGAACTAATCAGCTCTGATGTGGTGTTGTGTTTAAATAAAAACTAAATATCTGCTTATAATCACAACATTTTATTTATATATGATCATATAACGTCTGTATTTGTATCTTTGGGGTCGACTAGAATCTATTAACCTGCTTTAATGTTATTTTAATGTTTATTTTCCTTAGACTGTACATTCCTCTTCTGTCTGAAACGCTCCTTTAAGGCGTCTTATCTTTGTACAAACTGACCTAAACCACATCAGTCTATCAGCCAGAAACTGTAAAAACAGATTTTGAAGACGGTCCTTGAACTGATCGTCTCTGATGTGCTGTTGTGTAGAAAAAAAAAAACTAAAAATCCGACTAAAATCACCATATTTTTTATATATATCGAAATAGAAATACTCAAAATTTCCGACGGTCCTTGAACTCATCACCTGTAAAATACTGCATAAAATTATAATATTTCACATATATTAGATGATGACGCCACAAAATTGGCCCAAATCACCTGGACGAAGGTTTGTTTTTGTATTTTTGGGGTCGACTCGACTATATTTACCTGCTTTAATGTTCACAACACGTTACTTTCCTCAAACTCTACGTTATTCCCCTTCTGTCTGAAACGCTGTCAATTTATCAGCCGGAAACTGTAAAAAGGGATTTTAACGGCAGTCCTTGAACGCATCATCAGTGGCGCTCCCTTCTGAAAAAAATAAACAAAACTCTACGATATATTTCAGAAATATCACTTCATCCTCATTTTAAAAATTCGACGCAGTTCTGCGGCAGCGTCTGTCGGTCCGACCCGTCCAGGACTGAACTCGGCACCATTCATCAGAACCATCACTCACTCTTGCCGGTCTGCAGACTGCGGTTGTAGCCGACGGGGCTGAAGAACTCAAAGATGAAGACGGTCACAGCGACCACGGTCAGGCACATGACGAACATCATCACCCACACGGCCGGACTGTAGGGTTCTGGGAAGGAGAGCACAAGAGGACTTAAAGAACAGGACAGGAGGAACATCCCAACCCTGAAGACACGTTATCTATATAAAAGAAAACATGTCATTAAGTAGAGCAAAAAAACTGTGAAGACATAAAGAGTTGTCAACTGTCCAACGGTTCCTGAACTACTCATCTGGAAAATGACTCAAAATCTGTTTCCTCAGAGAGACNTTTCTACTTTTGTTAAACTACAGATAATAACGAGTAAAATCAGAAAATTTGAAGGATTTAATTTACGTTTTTGGGAATTAAAAAAAAGGCAAAAACTGAACCAAACGTCAACATAAAAAATCTGCATTTTTGTATGTTTAAATATGTTTTGTTTTCTATGTGAAACCACATAATTATACAGTTTGACCATTTTTAATCAGCTAAACAAACGAACATGTTACATCTGCAGCTGTTTTTATTGGTTTTAGTCACGTCAGCATTCGGCTGTTTTATCTGTTTGTTCTGTTGTTGTTCTACTTTGTTGTTCTAGTGTTCTCTAGTGTTCTCCGTCCCATCTTTCCTCCCACAGTTGTCCCGGGTTTCATCCAGACCTGGCGTTCAGCGGCCTCCTGCAGGGGACCGAGTCTCGGATGCAGGTTCCGGACGCCGGGTCGGCGAGCTCCACGATGACGAACGGCCTCTCCTCCAGCGTGACGACCCGGAGGTGCTGGGCGTCGTCGGGCGGCTTGAGGAACGGGCCGTAGCGCGACCAGGCGGGATAGCGGAGCCTCAGCACGCCGTTCTCCCACCAGCCTACCTGCAGACGAGACGCACGTCAGAGCTTCTAATGATGAACAAACACACGTCAGAGCATCAGACACGCCAGCGCTCCGGCTCGGCAGCTCTCACACTAACACACACAGTTCAAGTTATTAAAACAAAGCTTTTCCCACTGCGTGACAGAATCAGTTCACGCAGCCGTTTCTGGAAGTTCTGGCTCGAACCGTCATCAAGGCGAGTGTCCTCCAGTAACATCAGCTCAGAGAGTCGGAGCTTCATTAAGCCGCATGCATCCATCATCACCCCCACAGCACCTCTGAGCTCTGCTCTGTTTGTTGTCTGGATCTGTGCAGGAAGCCCGATTCACACGTGTGAGGCTGGAGGTCGCGGCTCACGGTTATCCCCGTTTGAACCGCACACGCCCAAGCTCTGGGATCTGATTGGCTGGAAGGCGTCAGGTACCGTTTCTAAACAGGACAGTTTGTCTTATGGACCAAGCTGCAGGTAAAACTCTCCACTAACAACCAAAACAAGGATCTAAACTACAGCTCATAACTCAGTGAACCTAAAGAGGAGAAAGGTGTCGTCTGCATTTTCATGACGTGGTTCACGTCACTGGTTCGGTTCCCGTTTGTTTCTACCAACGCAGAAGTCTGAGTTTCACCATCCAGCAGTCAGACTGGACACACACTGCAGACACCAGTCAGTCAGAGGAACGTCTCACATTCATGTTCATGTACCTTCATCACCACAGACGGTCACNTTGATGGAGCAGGCCTGGATTCAAGGAAAGGACAGCAAAGGATGGGAACCGTCAGTACTGAGGCCCGGCCAGCTCTGACAGGTTTAATGAAGCGGTCCTAGATTTAGGGAAAGGACAGTAAAGGATCGGTACCATCAGTATTGAGGCCCGGCCGGCGCTGACAGGTTTGATGGAGCAGTCCAGGATTTAAATAAAGGGCAGTAAAGGTAAGGAAAGGGAACCGGTCAGACAGTACAGAACCTCGGCCCGTGGTGACAGGTGTGATGGAGCGGCCCAGGATTTAAGGAAGGGACGGTAAAGGACAGTATGATGAGTATTGAGGCCCGGCCGGCGCTGACAGCTGTGATGGAGCGCTCCTGCATGGCTGCTGTCATCCTTCAGCAGCTGATGAACCATAAAGCTCCTCTGTGGTCGTATCTGATTCCAGCCTCCTGAGTCATTCCCCTGATCCTCTGAGAGACTCTGTTATTGATCAGCCGGCTGGAGGAGCTCTGAGAGGCTGGAGGCACCGCGGCAGCTCACGCCTGAACCGCCGCCGCCATAAAAACGCTTTATGGTTTTAACAGCTAACACGGTACTGACACTGTGCAGGCTCTCCCTGTTTATGGTTAAATTACAGAAAATATCTCCTGAAATCACAAAGAAATGCAGTAATTTACCTGCTAAAGATCAAATAACGTTCATGTCACTGCTCTGGGTTTCTACAAACAGCAACGTTTGACCTTCCTGCACATCCCATCAGAAGATTCACCGTGTTTTAACTAACAAAACATTTTATTTTTAAGATATCTGCTGTTATTGGAAAGAAAAAAGTGTAAATTAAAGACTGAAAAACAGCAAACAATTCTTTAAAATGTCATTTTACTGAATTTCCCTGTTTCGTTAAATTACAGGTAAAAAAAAAAAAAAAGTAATTTAAATCATTAATGT